AAAAAAAAAAAACTGAAAATATTTAAAACCAGATCAAGCCCAAAGTGGATCAAGTGACAAGGTTTTAACCATTCAAATCAGATTTATGAATTTAATCTATTATAGCCATCTCTCCAATATATTCTGTCTGGTAACCAGTTTATCCCCATATCTGAATTGTGGTTAGAGAGAAATCGCAGGGAGGTTATTCCGTGTATAGATCTTGCAAATGTATTTGGGACTTCTACTTTCATCTATAGATTTCTGTAAACCAGAATCTCATGATGTAAGTTCTAATACTATTCCCTCCCTCGGATTTGGATTATATGATTTACAATCCTGGGTCACGGATGTTGGTGTGCCTCTTTCATGTTGACTTAGTTGACATTTCACTTAGATGGCTGCTTGTTTGGAAACAAGCCTTCAAGACCCCAGACACTATTCTATCTGATAGCCAGGCACCATCTAATTTCTTCACCACACTTTGCTATAGCACCCTTGTCTTCTGTGTTTCCTTCATGGGGACAAGTATGTGATCATGTAAGGATGCCAATTGTCCTTCTGTTGGATAATTATCTTCCATGTCTGTTAGCATTTTCTACTTTTCTTGCCTTTTTAATACTTATTGGTAGTATCTTGTGGTTTTCCTGTATGTTAATAATTCAATTTATAGTGGTTCCTTTTTTATTGATGTTGCTAATCCACTTCTTATTTCTATAATAATACTGCTTTGGATTTCCTTTTGCTTTTTGCTGCCTGAAAGTTTTTTTCACCTGATTCTATTAAGTTAGTTAAAGCTAACTTTATATTATGTAAAGGCATTTATGTCATAAGGCATTTTCTCTCTTCCTTGAATTAAGTGTTTCCCTAACATGGCCTGATTGGTCTGTTTCGCTTACTGTCCCCCATGTAGATGTTATAAAATATTTTCTCAGTTAGTATGAAACGTCTTTCCTTTCTGTTTATTCGAGTTGGTCTGATATACATTTAGGGACTCCTCGACATTGTTCCCACTATATCAGAGACATTTGTTTTCCTGTAAGAGTTTCCAACTTTCTGAATCCTGAAAGAATGCCTAGGATGGGGTGGGGGAGTTCAGGTGAGGCAAACTGCAATCTTTGCTACAAGACCCTCTCTCTGCCTCCTATCCCACATTGAGAGTTAAATTCCCTAACCCAGTTGTCACTTTACCTAGTTGGAAAGGGTTTCCTATTCCCCACTCCAAGGATTTGGATCATCTCCCATGTCAGAGTACAGTATCAATGCCTTTGCTCTGTCAAGGGGAGTCAACCCCACAGCTCACTTTCCCAGTGGTACTTGGCACTAGCCAACTAAGGTAACAACTCTTCTTCTGCTATAAGAGGACCAAGATTAAGATACCAATCTGCACTGCATCTTGATAAATACAGAGGTATCAGGTAAAGGGCTAAACATTTTGTTACTCGTGTTTTAAGACTTTTTTAAGTTAAATTAGCATATTTTACCATATATCTCATGCCGTAATTCTCTTTTCTTTCTTTGGTCTTATTTTTTTATTTATGCTTTTATTTCATTAGGATATGCTCCTTTCTGTAGCAGTTTGATGAAAGTGAATTGGGGGCGGGAGGGGAGATCTTACTTTATTATTAAAGAGAAAATTATGGGGTTAATTTCAATATGTCAGAGTAATCTGGAATATGCACTGTCTATTATATCCATTTGTTGTTGATTCCAAATTTTGAAAACAACAGATTTCCTTTTTTAAAAATCATTTTATTTATTGGGGCTCAGACAGCTCTTATCACAATACATACATACATCCATTGTGTCAAGCACGTTTGCACATTTGTTGCCATCATCATTTTCTAAACGTCTTCTTTCTGCTTGAGCCCTTGGTATCAGCTCCTCATTTTTCCTCCTCCCTCCCCTACCCTCCCTCTCTCACGAACCCTTGATAATTTATAAATTATTATTATTTTTTCATGTCTTACACTGATTGATGCCTCCCTTCACCCACTTTTCTGTGAAAACAGCAGATTTCAGTGGTTGCTTGGGAAGCTTGAAACCATGATTTTGGGAGAAAAGGGTATTTAGGTAGGAAAGTACTATTTTTAACGGGCTCATAACTCTTTCATTTTAGCAGAATTAGTTAGATTAGCCAGAAAATAAAGTAAAACAAACCAAACACCTAGACAATAAGAGTGTAAACAGTCATTGTAATGATTAAATGTACCCTGTAGGCCATGAATTCATATTGAAGTCAAAAACAATATATTGAGAAGTATATCTTCAAGGAAATATGGTTTTTTCTTAGACATTTTCATCTAAAGCTAATGAATGGCAAGAAGCCAATTCTAGTTTAAAATTTTAGTTATTGGATGTGTAAAATTTTCTACAAACCCATAGTGTTAAGACTTACGTTCCTTCAGACAGATGCTTACTTGCTCATGAATCATCAGCAATAAGCCTAGTTCTCAGTATTTTCTGAATGCTCCAGTACCTTTTTATACAAAATCAATGCATGCTATATCATTTCCCCGCTTTCCTTTGTTTGCTCCCTATATATTTACTACATACTGCCCACTGTCCACTGTACCGATATTGCTAATAAACTGAAAGGCGAATGGGATTCTCAGATGTAGGAGAATGCCAGGGTTAACATTTAAGTCATCATATCTTTTATGTTCTCATCATAAGTCAGAGACCATTTCGCTTTGTGTTATTTATAGAGACCATATAACTAATCTGTAAACCCAAAGCCCAAACTTACTGCTATGGAGTAGATGCCTATTCAGAGCAACCAGTAGGAGAGTGTAGACTGTCCCTGGGGGTTTCTGAGACTGTAACCCATTACCATCCTTCCCCCATGCTCTCAAACAGCTGGCTTTGAAGTGAGCCACCCAACAGGTAACCACTGTGCACCAGGGCTCCTCTAAATAGCATGTAATTATTATAATTTTATTAAATTTTATCATGGATTATCAAAATTATATTTTTATTACATAAGTTACGAGCATCTGAAATAAATGTTAAGCAAATGCATTAACCCACTGATTAATTGCATATATATCACTATATAGAGAATACATAATTTCAATCATTAATTTAAAATCAATTATAATAGGCATATTGTCCTTAAGAACAAATGACTGTCAGTTTAAATGAGTGCTGTTTAAATTGACATACACAATCTTTAGCTCATTTACGTATAAGTCCATCTATCTAACCAATATTTTTCAGTGCTGGATGAGTGTAGGTCTGTGTGCTAGGTGCTATGAGGACAGAGATACATACCTAATATGGTGATGTTCTTGGTGCATACTTACCAGCATATTAATCCTTTTGGAACCAAATTATTTGCTGCTTCAATTTTTCGTTGTTGTGGTTGATACCATGTTTTCATTAACAGGAGGCATGCTAAAAAACAATGGAGGCAATACAGGCATTCAGTTATGTAGGACACATATGTCCCAAGTGGACATTGATGGTAGGAGTGGTGGGATGAGACCCATTTCTTCAGGTTCACACAGTTATACAAGTTTCTGCCAAGTGCAGCATGTAGCACAAGTGGGATAGCAGCTTTTCAAGAGACTGGGATGGCTAAAAATATTAGTGAGGAATATATGCCCCATAGGTCAAAGACGTGTTAATACCCCCCAGAGGTTGGGCTCCATTACCCCTAGTGTAGATTTTCGTTGTTGCCACCAGCTGCACTGACCACTGCCTCTTTCCACAGGAGAAAAGTGCCTGTCAGAGATGCCCTATGACAGCAGCACCAGCTATGAGAAGGAGAACGAGATGATGTCTTCCCACGTGATGGACCAAGCCATCAACAATGCAATCAGCTACCTGGGGGCAGAGTCCCTGCGCCCCCTGGTACAGACACCCCCTGGTGGATCTGAGGTGGTCCCAGTTATTGGTCCCATGTACCAGCTCCATAAGCCCCCTGGGGATGGACCCCCACGCTCCAACCATACTGCTCAGGATAGCGCCGTGGAGAATTTGTTGCTGCTCTCCAAGGCCAAGTCAATCTCTTCGGAGAGGGATGCTTCTCCAAGCAACAGCTGTCAAGACTCCACAGACACCGAGAGCAATAATGAGGAACAGCGCAGTGGCCTCATCTACCTGACCAACCACATCAACCCCCATGCCCGGAACGGCCTGTCCATCAAGGAGGAGCACCGGGCATATGATGTGCTGCGGGCAGCTTCTGAGAACTCCCAGGATGCCTTTCGAGTGATCAGCCCCAGTGGCGAGCAGATGAAGGTGTACAAATGTGAACACTGCAGGGTGCTCTTTCTGGACCACGTCATGTACACCATCCACATGGGCTGCCATGGCTTCCGTGATCCTTTTGAGTGTAACATGTGTGGCTACCACAGCCAGGACAGGTATGAGTTCTCATCCCACATCACCCGTGGTGAGCATCGCTTCCACATGAGCTAAGCGGCCCCTACAAAAGCCAGTGGATTGTCGTGCACTCTTCTCTAGAGGCAGAGTGGTCACCCGCCAAGAAAAGCACAATCACTCATGAACAGAAAATGGATAAAAGAATCGCTGCTGTCTCCCCTTATGTCAGCAGCATGTAATCGATGATGATGTGTTGTGATCATTAAGTGTTTTAGAGTTTTTATTTTTGTTAGGGTTTTTGTTTTTTTTGTTTTGTTTTGTTTTTCTTAAGTTGTTTGGTTGGGATTTGATTGTTTTTTAATACAAATATTTTTATTGTTAAATGCAGGGTTACATTTGGAGTACTCAGAACTTTTTCTCTTACTAGACTTTTCCATAGATGACCCCTTTTCTAATTCTCCTTCTCCAAGCAATTACTCATTTTTCACAGAGTCATAGGAATATGATCAAAATCCGGGACGAGATGACCTGGTCCCTGTCCGAAGCACAGGATTCGAGTACTCCATGAGTGTTCCGAGCCCCATTCAACAGAGAGTGTAGCACAAAAGGTTTGTTACTTCCCGTGGAGTGAGCACTGGCGGCGGCAGACAATAAGCACGATCACCTGGGAGCGGCTGGCCCGGAAAGGGTACAGGTGCCACAGCATCAACCACCTTGAATCTGGGGCTGAGCGGTGATCTTTTACAAAGAAAACGTTATTTAAAGGCACTTCTGCCTAAGAAAATAAATTGAGAAAAGTAATACTTCCCAGGCTCACTTGGACAGAAAGGGGAGGCTTGGAGTCATTCAGACTCTGGGTCTTCAAGGCTGTAAAATGTTTCTAGTTCAGATGACTGAACTTGCTGCCAGGTGGAGTAAGCTCAGCATTCCTGTGCACACACCTGCAGAGCTCTGTCCTCTGCTTCTCTCTGTGTCTAATGCCCCCCAAAGTCTATCACTGCATCTTCAGTGCCAGTCCCAAAATGTGGTCTTTAAGTCTTTGTGAATAAAAGAATCCCATTGGTCAGAAACCAAAGGTTTGTTCCAAACGCCACACGGACGTCTTTGACTCTGTCGCCGAGGGCTTGTGAGCACATGTTCCTGCGGAAGTGCAGGTCTCGCCACGGACCCTCGTTCTGGTGTTCTGTTTGTAGCCTGTGGTAGCCACAGGCCTGAATTTCTTGGCATCCAGAAATTGATTTCCCAACCTTTACTCTCTATTATCATTGCTTTAAAATCCATAAAAGAATGGTTTAAATGAATCTTAATTTTCAGATCAACATGTGACAAATGTTTTAGATCAACAAAATATGGCAAATGTAGCCCAGTGTCTCCTTCGCTACCCCACAATACTGAACTATTTGAAACTAAACTTGCAACCACCCCCCAAAACTCTGTTGTAAAAGCAGAGTAGCACACACCATGGCGCATGGCCCAGGATCCTGTGCCACTGTAGAGACACGGAGTGTGTCAGGCAGTCACACGACTTACCCTGTGAAATGGCATAACAGAAAGGAGATGGTGAGAACTCTTCCTGTACGTGCTAAGGCAGTCAAATGCGTTTCCAAAGCCTGTGCTTAGAAATTCTTATCCCAACCAGGAAAGGTTTCCCTCATGGTTAATTCTGTTTAATCTAATTACCATTAAGGTCATTAATCTCAACCACATAGGCAAAGAAGAGTGGATAATTTCAAGTTTATACAGTACTCATCTTCACGAAACATCTTGTCCCAAGATGAACCTGAACAACTAACTGAGAAAAATGTATGCATAAGCATCGGAGAGCTTTGGGATTAGTGTTTAACCACGATTGGGATAGCTTTTGTTTCAGCAGTTGGCTGGATAATTCTGTTGTGGGGAGCTGTCCTGTGCATTGTGGAAATATTTAGAAGCATCTGTGATCACTGCCCGATAGATTCCAGCAGCACCCCCAATTGTAGCAAACAAAATTTTCTCCAGATAGTGTCAGGTGTCCCCTAAGTGCAAAGTCGTACCTACTTGAAAACCACTGATCAAAATGAATTCTACCACAGAGATCTGGGAAATCTTCACGAAAAAGTAAGATGCAAACAAGCTTCTCAGTCATCAAGTGGGACACGTTTTCTTGAACTCACTATAAGCTTTAGCGTGGAGTATTTCCCTCCAGTCTTCAGAAGTATTACTCCTGGGATATGAATTTCTTGAAGGGACAGTGTCCACAGATATGATTCTTCAAGCATGGATTTCCTTGCTTAAGAATGGTGACATTTTTAAGCTGGAAATAGACAAAATTGTAATACTCTAGATAGTGGCACACAAGTGCACTGACTGAAAAAGAGAGAGGAGAGCTAAAACTGTCAATAGTTTTAGTTCAGGCTGTGATTACAGAGAATGATTTATGCAAATTAGTTATGTTCAAAGTGAGAGCCTTCCTGATTTCTAATGAGTTAGTAAATGTCATATACCTGGGTGGTTTTGGTTCTTGTTATTTTTTTTTTTAAACATTCCTCCCATAGAATCAATTGGTTGAAAGCAGTTGTTTTTTCCAGTGTCATCCAAACAAATGTTAAACCAGAACTGGAAATAGTGGCTACAGGAATTCTTTTCTAAAATTCTTTCCCTCTTCCTTCTCATGGTCTTTAAAGCCCGCCTTTTATTGTGGTTTTATATTGTACCCATTTTGGGGGAATTATTATATTTAATGTAAGACGTCACATAATGTCAGCCAGTAATTAAATTATGTTTGATAGGTGGCCATATACTGTACCAAAATTAATGTTTTTCTTCTAGCTAGTAAAAGTAAGATTTTGCATGACTTCACGCCTTCTTTCCCCCCTGTGGTTTTTCTGTTTTGTGATGGTTTGCGCATGTGTCTTGGGTGCCCCTGTGTAATGAGATGTGTGTAGATTTTGTGCACACTCACTGTGTTAAATGTCAGAGAAAAGAGGTTTCAGAGTAGCAGGTTGACCTGTTGATTACAATTAGAAATGACTGTTTCTTGTTCCTTCCCCTCTCACTCAACCCACCCCAATAACATGGAAAATTTCAACATCTACTCCCTACCCTGAGTCCTGTGTGTAATAGATACCTTAAAATGTGTGAGTTTTCTAGTTAAAGAGTCACTAGAAATATGTGCATTGTCATTGTATTACGACAGAAGGTTGGGTCCCAGTACCAATCACTTCAGATACCAGCATGTATTATTCCAAATTTAGAAACAGCCACAGTGAAATCACAGACGCATCAGTGAGAACAAGAGAGTTACTGGTAGGAAGATGTGGATTGTTATTTTATTATTATTGTGCTTTTTTGCTCATTTCCTTTTGTTTGGACTACAGTGTGATTTTCATAGTATTCTTACCAAGACAAGAGAGAGATAAAATGTATAGACTTAGACAAGTCAAGAAGCAAGTCTATTTCTCCATTCTTTGCTTAGATTCCAGCAATAATGTGGTCAAATCTTTAAAGTCCAGAAATCTGTCATTACATGTTTTCATTTCTTTACTTTAAAATGAACCAATATGAGACTTATTTAAGATGTACAGGCATCCGAAAAAGAAGCACATATGCTATTGGTACAATAGCATTCACTGTGAACATGTGTAACCAGATATTAATATGCAATATTGTTCCAATACTTTCTAATATACTTTTTAAGATAATGTTGTGTGTGGTGACTGTTGAATTTGTTTATAACCAGTACAGCGTTAGGTCTTTGATTGCCTTTTTTGACAAGTACATGTACAGGACTGTAAATGACAAAAACGCAGAAAATGTATTTCCAATCTGCCGCTATGATTGTTAAATTATTTGTTTAGATGTGAACACGGGATGTACAACTGGAGGAATCGAGTATCCTCTTGTGCACATTTTGAAATGCTTCTTCTGTAGTGATATAACAAATAAATGCATCAAATACTCTTGTCTGTCCTCTTCCTGGAAGCATACACCAGTTTGCACTAAGGCCAGACGGAGCTGAAATCTGCTGTGGATACCCTCCCAGTCCGACTGCCCTGAGAAGAAAAGAAGAGCTAAGCTGTGGGGTAGGGAAAGATAAGCTGACTACAGCAGAGCAGTTCAGTGTCGCCAAACTGACCGCCACCTGTCTGGAATGTGGCTGCGCTGCAGAATATTAAGATACAGTCTTTGATCTCAAAAAATGTGGGCTTGAGGGAAGTTGAACATAAAATGCAACAAAAATACATCTGTAACTCATCCCAGTTCACAGTTGTGGTACCATGAGTGTCATAGACTCACAGCTGTGGCCTCAGTTGTGGGCTCCCTGGCCTTCGCATGCTGCCCCTAGGGAGCTGTTCCCTCACCTGTACTCCTCTCAGTGCCTTGCAGTTCAGCGCAGTTCTGCTTCAGAACTCCACTACTGCTATCCCCCTTTGGCGGAAACCAAATTTTCTCTTTTAGATAAATATCGCAGACATCATCTGGATTCAGACTGAGTTGTTGCATGGTGCAACAATTGGTCCAAACCTGGTGACACAGTAATAAAATATAGAGATTATATCATCGTTCACACCTTGTCTTGACTTCAGCCCCCAAAGACTTTCAAAACATATCTTTTGCCAAGATGATAGCATCTCTCAAAGAATTTTCTAGCATCTTTAGGTTGCCTCTTCGGAAGAGGGTGTGTGTGTGTGTGTGTGTGTGTGTGTGTGCCACAACCATTTAAAATTTGATGACAAAGTTTTATAGCTATGCCTTGTATATGTCTCAATGCCAACAGATTAAAGAATAAGGGATAGCTATACTCACTCAAGAATAATTTGGCTTCGAGTTCCGGGTAGATGGCAGACCAGGGACCTGCTTACTTTGAGAGCTCTCTCGAACAAAGCGGGTTTGGTGTCCTGGTAGCCGAGTGGTAGGAGTCTGGTGAGTGAAGAATAATTTGGCATCAAACAAAACCATGAGAGCTAGAAACTTTTATGTGAATATATTTGTAAAACCATATGATATACTTTAGCAACTTGATTTCTTAGGAAGCTTGATAGATACTTACTTATAGAATTATGAGAAAAGTAATTGTACAAATCAGTCACAGGCTGCCACAACTCCAAATTGAGTACAGACATGTTGAAACACTCATTCTAGAGATAATAGTGACTGGTGAGAACAATAATTCCAAACTTTTAAGACGAATGGGTAGGGTGCACTTGGTTTTCACTACAGCTTAAGTCTCTAGATGTTCTGCTGCATGCTTGTTCCTGTCTACTTAGCACAATCTCTTTAAGAATGACTTAGAAAAAGAATATGACAATTTTGAAATTATAAATCTGTTATTTGAACTGAAGTTTCCCCCTGGCAATCCCTGGGAGAAGCAGTGTTGCATCCGACAACTTGTAATAATGTCTGTGTCCCAGGCATGCTGCTTTTGCCTCCTCTGTCGTCCTGCCCGAAACTCTGATGAATTGATCTGCAGCTAAACTATTAAAAAAAATTCTAAAGAATAAATTTCAACTCCAAATGTTGTAAACTAGTAAACCTTCACCTACTAATCAAAAGATCCTAATGGTGTGGATCAACACAGATGTGCATGGAAGAAAAACCTGGTATGTACTTTCAAACAATCACAACTTTTGAAAATCCCCACCATTCATGTGTCAGCTTTAAATGCTGTCAGCAGTACATGGTGTGATAGCCTGCATGTTGCTCTGATGCTAGAAGCTATGCCACTAGTATTTCAAAGACGAAACAGGCTCATCACGAAGGGGTAGGTTTCATCAGAATTTCCAGATGAGGGCTTGGAAAAATCCTGGATGATCTACTTCTGAAAACAGATCGCCAGTGAAAATCGAATGGACAGCAGTGGAGCTGTGTCTGACAGGGTGCCATACTCTGAGCCCCACAGCTTGTAAGGTCCTCAAAATGCCACGTGGAAAGTGGACTTTACTGATGTGACACAACCAAGCTTTCATCACTTTCGTTGGCTGATGGGACACCATTCAAAGTGAGCAGAAACTACAGGCATCTATTAATTATTAAATTGTATAATATTCAAAGTATGAATCTAGAAAAATTGACGTTTTCAAAAAATCAAATGCAAAAATATAGAAATCCTAAGCATTAATAGATGAAATGGACTGGCCATTTTGAATCTACTATGCCAGGAATGAGAATTTGAGATGACCTTGAATTCATTGTCAAAAACATTCCAAGATCTATTCTGAAGTACAATGCTGTCAGTCATAGTATAATATTCATATGCTTATAAGGAACACCATTTAACCTATTCAACTGTATGCACAAACTACTCATTTCAATGATAAAAATACCGAAGATTTTTACCAAATCCTACAATCTGAAATTGATCAATTAAGCAATCAGGCTGCATTCCAAAAGTTGGAAACAGAGGAATGATCAATAGTGCCCATTCCAAAGAAAGGATCCAACAGGATGAGGAAATTATTGAACAATATCATTAATATGACTTGCAAATTTTTCTGAAGAAAATTCAAAATCGGTTGTAGCAGTATAATCAACAAGGAACTGGCAAGAATCAGGCAAGAAGTCAGACCAGGATAAAAAAGAGGGCATGAACTGAGGGTGATCGTTGTTGACCTCAGTAGTCTTGGTTGAAAATATAGAACACCAGAAAAATGCTTACCAGTGCTTTATTAACTACAACAAAGCACTTGACTTGTGGGATCATAACACATGATGGGTAACATTGAAAAACATATACTTAATTGTACTAATATGGAACATGTACATGGGTCATGAGGCAATTTTTGAACAGAACAAGGGAATATTGGATGGTTTAAAATGGAAAAAAAACATTTATTCAGTCCGTATGCTGAGCAAATAATCTGAGAAGCTGGGCTGCATGCAGAAGAATGAACACGGCATCAGGCTCAGAAGAAGACTCATTAATAACATGTGATATGCAGATGACAACCTACCTCGCTTGCTGAAAATGCAGAGGATTAGGAGCCCTTACTGATGAGGACCAAGAACTACAGCTTGCAGAAAGGATTTCACTTCAACATTCCAAATTTTTTAAATACAACCTGATAAGCAAGAGAGATTGAAATGACCAGGGATGTCATTTTATGTGGGTCCACAATCAATGCCCATGGAAGCAACAATTAGGAAATCAAATCATTTAGTGCTGCAAAAGACCTCTCTCAGGGTTAAAACGCAAAGGTGCCACCTTGATGAGTGTTTTCAAGCTCCTCATATGCATGGAAACGCTGGACAATGAGTACAGGAGACAAAAGAAAAACATGCATTTGAATTACTGTGTTGGCTAAGACTATTAACTATACAATGGACCACCAGAAGAATTAAGCCAGTTGTTGGAAGAAGCACAGCCAGACTAATCCTTGGAAATAGGGATGGCAAGACTTCATATCCCATATTTTGGACTTATCTGGAGGGACTAATCCCTGTAGAAGGCCCTCTGTCTTGGGCAATGGAAAAGAGGAAGACAATAAACCGAACTGATGGACACCGTGCCTGCAGCCATGGGCTCAAACATAACCATTATAAGGATGCCCCAGGAATGGACAGTGTTTCATCGGTTGTGCTGAGGCTAACGATGGGTCAGAATTGACTTGAAGGCATTAATAATAACACTGAAAACACTATTGAACACACTTCTACTTTAATACCCACGAGTTGCCGTGAATTATGGTTAACTTGATGGCAACTAGTTGGGTTCTGGTTTGGTTCACTCCCTTTAAAAGGGAAAAAGGAAGCATTCCATTTGGCTGTGAGGATGATAAAGTCAATTGCACCACTTCCCTGCTTGTCAGTCTGGCTCTTGTCTCTATTGGTTTCATCTCCCTTGAACCAAGTCCAAGAAAATCCCATTCCCTAGCTCCTGGCTGCCATGAGCCTCCCTCCCCAGGCTAGCCTCCCAGAGCACTAAGATTCTAACAAATTACCATGACTTTAATTCTCAAATGCAGCTCAGAGTTTCCAGAGGCCCATCCCCCATAACTCCACAGTTGGAGGACTTGCATGGGCTTTACCAAGTCATGCTGAGCTGACTCCCCAGTCCTCCTTCCTGATCCTCATTAGGAATTTATAACCTTCACCTTCAAAGAGCCCCAGTACTTGTTTGTTTGTTTGTTTGTTTTTCAGGAAGAATAGAAAAATAATGATGTTCTTCCTTTCCCTCCTGAACTTGAAAACACAAACGTAGACAAGGGAGAGACAAAAATAGGAGCTTTATTACCCATAAAATCTCAGTCAGAGCGCACGGCTTTATGAGACCACAGAGGGTTTCTAACAACTTGCTCTGAGTTGGGCAGGCTTACTAGTCAGTCGGACACAGGCAGCCCTTAACCCAAGTCTCCTCTAAAAAGGCCGGGGAGATGGGACCAGCACCCATTCTCAGCAGGGAGTAGATCTCAAGGGGCAAGAGGAGGCCTCTGTTCTTATATCCAGTTCTTAAAACTAGTCACGTCTTCTCCTCCCTTGAGACTCAGGCGGGACTTCCCTGAACATACTCCAAATGGAAACTAGGGGGTTGGGGTTAGAGGTGAGAAAATTATCAGTCCTCATCTGTCCCAGCCTCGTTAAGCTCAATGTCAGCAAGTTTCCCCTAATACGGAGGATCAAGATCATTCTATGTGAGTCCCTACTGCTTTCTTCCTCAAAATAGTCTCACATTTTATTAATATGGAAGGTCTTGTACTGTCATCAGGCTCTGCAGTAACTCTTTTACAATCAAGTCTCTCTGTTTGGCTGTCCTTCGAGCACCAGCATCCCAGTAGCCTCTCTGCCTCCAGGGTCTCCTTACTTCATCCACGCTTCATGGGTCTGACACGGAAGACTGGCCAAGTGGCTGACCCTGCTATCCTCCACAAGAATCTTGAATCACTTTGGACTGCTTCAATACAAACAGCACACTTCTCAGTTTTGAACACAATGCCTCTCCCTCCCCTGGTTGTCTTCAATGGTGTCCTCTAGCGTGTCTCCAACCATAAGGCATGGTGGTTAAGAATAGCCGAAGCCTGGGGGAAAACCCAAACTCTGCAAATCAAAATCATAGCTGTGCAAAACTGAGCAAATGGCTTACTTACTGTGGGCCCTGCTTCTTTTCTATCAAATCCAGTGTGGTTATTGTGAAGATTAAATCCTTAATATCTATAAAGCCCTTAGAACGAGGCCTGGCCTGAATTTAGTGTTTCTGAACACTTTCCTATTTCAATTTGACTTGTGTAGCACCTTCTGGCCCCATGATCTCATTTCATCTCTCTGAAAACCAGGACAAAGATAGAGATGATAGCCTCATATTAAAGTTAAACCAGTTTTGAGTTTTGGTGTGTGTGGAAAAGCCCAGGACCCTTCCAATGTATGCATGCGATTGATACCCTTTAAATACAGGTCTCGGGTTTGGGACTCACTGACCTATGAGTGACTGTCAAAAAAGAGGGTCATGCGGAGAGTGAAAGATACCTGATGTTGCTAAGGAAAGAGGGCAGAAGGCATCCTGTTGGAAAGGTGGGAAGGAGTCAGCACAGGAAATGAATGCTATCGTTCCCCTGAGAAGGCATGGCAAATCAGTACAACATCCCAGATTGTAAATCAGAGGAAAAGACCAGAGACCTCCATAGAGCAGATCAGCTGAGGACAGGGCTGGGTAGAGAACGGTGGGTTTGCCTTCTGGGAGGTTAGCAGCCACCTTCGAAGGAGCAGCTGCCAGAGGGCCGCAGCGGCAGCTATCGGGAAGGGTGGGTAGAAATGGCTGTGGGGTGAATGGTGTGCAGCTTATATAGAAGACATTGGAAAGCAAAAGCTACCAGTCCCCAAATCTCACTTTCCACTGATGTTGGAAAAGCCACCAGTTTCTAGGGGCATATTTTCCTCAGGAGGAGATTGAAATCCTCAGTCAAAGGCCCCTTTCTGACCAGGCTGAGGCCAGGAGTGAGGCCATGGGGCCTCGGGGGAGGTCGGGCAGCGCTGGGCGGGAAGCACCCTAGTCTGGAAGCAGCCTCAGGCCTGTGTCTCCTGGCACAGATGGCAACCAGCACCACAGGAAGCAGATGCGCCCCACCTCCCACCCCAGCAGCCAGGGCACAACTGGGAACGGCTGCTTGGCACAGAAATTTGCATAAAATGGATCATTTCATATCAAGACTGTCCCCTAAAGTGTACTATAGGGATCTTGGCACGTTAAGAGATTTCACTTCTTCTTTCCCATGTTTTGTCAAGCCAGCCAGAGTGTGGGAATTATCCTGAGGCTTGCTTACCCTCCTGAGTCGGTTCTAGACCTGTCCCCTCTCCTTTCTGCGGCGCCCACACCCCTGGGCAGGGTGGAGCCCAACTTTACTGGGGAGTTCCGGCCCCTGGCCAGGGACGCCACCTCTAAGCCCCTGTCTTTGAGCACAGCCTCGCTTCGGGCATCAACTGCTTCGTGCCTTGACAATATCTTGTTCTGGCGCCATCCAACCCACTGCTTCCCCAGCACCTGTGATGGCTTCCTCATTGTCATTCTCCCTGGAGCTTTCTGCGGGCAGAGGGCGGGGCTGAGCCCAGCCAAGAGAAGGTTCTGTGGTCTCAGGGCCGTCCATTCAATTCCCCTTTTGGGCCCTCCTCCACTCTGGGCACCACCCTCATCCCCACCCACAGCGGGCACACTCCTTTGCAAAATGTGTTTTTTGCTCACACCCAGTTCCCACCTTCTGAAGAATCAAGTTTCTTTTTTAAAAGAAGTTTCGTTCCACCCACGGGAAAGCAGCTTACATTTGTAGCCAGTGATTCAGGCACCATATGAATTCAGGGTACATTCAGTGATCGCTGTAGGATCACTGTGATCTTGAAAGAAGAGGAGTCTACAGGCTCAAACCCACTCGTTCCAAATAGCGTTCAGGACCCAATCAAGATCTGATACCCCAAATCTCGCTCCAGCCTTTCTCAACCTTCCAATCATGCTAACGTTCCTTAGTTCCCAGTTCTTTCTCTCCTTCTGCCTTGGCAGATTCTGGAAGACCTTCTCCAGACTTCCTGGCTACCTGGCGACGGTATAATGTGTATGAGGATGCCAAGCTCATTGTACTTCAGCTTGAAACTGCGAGAAGACCAGACTCTGAGTTCTTGGCTCCCTTGTATAACTCTACGTTGTGCTATTCATCGCATCGCTCGCGGAAATGTCTCTACAAGGGACTGGAGTCACTGAAAGGCAGAACCTCGCATCAGGTCTCCCTGAACCTAAGGAACAAGCAGTGGGTCGGGTGAAAGCAGGCACTCTCGTGCTCTAGGTCAAATCCCGGAACTGTGTGTGAGCTAGGTCCTCCATCCCACCCCCCAGGCCTGGCCCAGGGACCCCAGGAAGGGTGTGTGGGTGGGTCCTCCATCCTAGTGCTCTGAGCTCCCTGTGATCTTATCTTGTCCTGACCTCGGTCCATGACCCTTCTTCCTGAAACCTTTCACGCAGTCCCATTTGCTTCAGAACCACCATCAATCCTTCTCAGGGGGAGAGAAAAAAAAAAAAAGAAAGACAGGATCATGGAATACATGCCCCTGGGCTCACTGGGTACTACCTGTGGCTCCCCAAGATGCCTAATTTGGGCATCACATAGGATCGCATCCATGGAGCTCAGAGTTGCCCTAAGGGACAAAACTGCTGACGACATGGATAGAGTAGGCTGTGGCCACTGACGCTGGACTGGGGCCCCAGGTACAGGGAAGTTTAGTGAGTGCAGATGTCCTGAGAGGGGCAGGGGATTTCCCAAGAAAGCTGGTGGCTTTTTCTTTGTCCAATTTAAACTTTCCACTTCCCCACTTCCCATTTACTTGTCTCTTCCCAAGGAGATGGAATCAGTTTGATGACCACTGTTGTTTTCCCACGTGCCCCAAATGGGACAAAGCCTATGATCCAGAGGGGAGGACCGATCTGTTAAGTCAATGCCCCGCAGAAGCAGGAGGTGGGGTCCATGAGGAACGCTTCAGGCAGAGGATCCAGAGTCAAGCTCTGTGCTGCCTACCGGCTCTGAGGTCAACTGGTCCCCTAGAAAAAGTAGCATCTTAAGAAGCTGAAC